GAGGCCCGCTGCCGAGATGGTTTTTGAAGGGGGAAAGGTTCCCTTCGAAAAGGCTTCCAGTAGGCAAATCCCGGTTTCGAAAACGAATGAACGAGTGATGAGCGCTGCCATGCAAAGTGGCGATCTGTAGGGGCAGAGGGCTCGGTTTGAAAGCCTCATAGAGACATTGCTCTTGTGGCTTGAGGGTCCAAGCTGCAAGGGGGAAAGGTTTCCGAGGGGCAAAACCTGGTTTTGAAAACCAATGAGAGATCATATCAGGTGCAACCTGCGGTATCCCAGCTAAGCCGGGGTCGGCAGATTGTTGAATGGTCTTTGAAGGCTAGGAGATCTGCAGCAACTTCTTGGAACCATCTCTCATTTGCCGTTGCTCGTCAGGATTTCGTGGCACTTGGCATCAGTGGGCTTGAACCCTGAGGCGTGGTTTTCAGTTCATTGGTGTCCATTTTCTAATTGGCACTTTGGAGGGAATGAGGGAATGGATCCAAACACGATTTTTGTGGGAATTGAGATTCCTTACTATCGTTACCTGTGTTGGCCCCGTTCACCTGTCTTGTGCGTGTTCTCTTGTTGGCAGCTTGAAGACTAAGATGCACCTGTCCAACCCAACCCTTTAAAAAAATGATACAATCATCCAAGTAGACTCAGCAATACCTAGTGCAAAGAATAGGTTCATGCGCAACCTTTTCAGGTACAAACTGGACGATCAAGGTACGTATGTAAATACAGTATATGAAAATATATGACACATGTGCATACAGACACACTTCATTTTATAACTTAATGATATAGTACATGTTATATTGTGGCTGATCTCATTGTTTCGAGGAACAACACCTATTTAGATTCTACAAATCTATGCATACATTTGCATACCTTTACTGCCGTGCTTCGCCTCCCCCAAGGCTGCCCCGGAGCTGTGCCGCCATGTGCGGGCTCGCGCCCGCAGCTCGGAGGCCACTGGTCGGCGGCTTTCGTGGAGACCGCGTGGAGGGTCGCCACCACCCTGAGTTGATGGAATACATTCCCTACGGGTCCAGTACCACCCAGAAAAACCGGTTCCGTTATCTGATTCGGTTGTGGTTGTAAAAGCAAGATGGAGCCCACGAACCCGAATGCAAAGACGTTCAAAAAGCTACATATATCCAAATGACACTCTTGTAGGACACTCTTGTGGGACACTCATTTGGGACCCTCTTGTGGGACACCCTTGTGGGACACTCTTGCAGGACACTCTTGTGGGACACTCTTGTGGGTAGGAAACTCTTGTGGGACACTCTTGTAGGACACTCTTGTGGGACACTCTTGTAGGGCACTCTTGTGGGGCACTCTTGTGGGACACTCTTGTAGGAAACTCTTGTGGGACACTCTTGCGGGACACTCCTGTAGGACACTCTTGTGGGATACTCTTGTGGGACACTCTTGTGGGACACACTCTTGTGGGACACTGTTGCGGGACACTCTTGTGGGACACTCTTAAGGGACACTCTTGTGGGACACTCTTAAGGGACACTGTTGCGGGACACTCTTGTGGGACACTCTTGCAGGAGACTCTTGTGGGACACTCTTGTGGGACACTCTTGTGGGACACTCCTGTGGGACACTCATTTGGGACACTCTTGTGGGACACTCTTGTGGGACACTCTTGCGGGACACTCTTGTGGG